CCAGGAACTCACTCTATAGACCAGGAATTCACTCTATAGACCAGGAACTCACTCTATAGACCAGGAACTCACTCTATAGACCAGGAGCTCACTCTATAGACCAGGAACTCACTCTATAGACCAGGAACTCACTCTATAGACCAGGAATTCACTCTATAGACCAGGAACTCACTCTATAGACCAGGAACTCACTCTATAGACTAGGAACTCACTCTATAGACCAGGAACTCACTCTATAGACCAGGAATTCACTCTATAGACCAGGAACTCACTCTATAGACCAGGAACTCACTCTATAGACCAGGAACTCACTCTATAGACCAGGAACTCACTCTATAGACCAGGAATTCACTCTATAGACCAGGAACTCACTCTATAGACCAGGAACTCACTATATAGACTAGGAACTCACTCTATAGACCAGGAGCTCACTATATAGACCAGGAATTCACTCTATAGACCAGGAACTCACTCTATAGACCAGGAACTCACTCTATAGACCAGGAACTCACTCTATAGACTAGGAGCTCACTATATAGACCAGGAACTCACTCTATAGACCAGGAAGTAACTCTATAGACCAGGAACTCACTCTATAGACCAGGAACTCACTCTATAGACCAGGAGCTCACTATATAGACCAGGAATTCACTCTATAGAACAGGAACTCACTATATAGACCAGGAACTCACTCTATAGACCAGGAACTCACTATATAGACCAGGAGCTCACTATATAGACCAGGAACTCACTCTATAGACCAGGAACTCACTCTATAGACCAGGAATTCACTCTATAGACCAGGAACTCACTCTATAGACCAGGAACTCACTATATAGACCAGGAACTCACTCTATAGACCAGGAACTCACTATATAGACTAGGAACTCACTCTATAGACTCACTCTATAGACCAGGAACTCATTATATAGACCAGGAACTCACTCTATAGACCAGGAACTCATTATATAGCCCAGGAACTCACTCTATAGACCAGGAACTCATTCTATAGACCAGGAATTCACTCTATAGACCAGGAACTCACTCCATAGACCAGAAACTCACTATATAGACAGGAACTCACTATATAGACCAGGCTGGCTTCAAGCTCATGGATGGGCTGCCTCTGCCTCCCGTGTGCATCACCATGTCTCACACTGAAAGATATTAAACATAAGGACTGCTTTTTAAAAAAGACATACCCAAGTGTGGCCATGGTCTCTCAAAGGGGGAAAAACAAACAAACAAACAAACAAACAACCTTGGTAGTGATGAACAGGACAGTAAGACAGAGAAAATAGTAAAGAGAGAAGACAGTGGGGGTGCACGCCTTTAATCCCAGCACTCAGGAGGCAGAGGCAGGCGGATCTCTATGAGTTTGAGACCAGCCTGGTCTACAAGAGCTAGTTCCAGGACAGGCTCCAAAGTCACAGAGAAACCCTGTCTTAAAAAAAAAAAAAAGAGAGAGAGAGAGAGACATGAGGAGGAGAGACAGACAGAGAGAGAAAGAGGGAGAGGGAGAGACAGGGACAGAGACAGAGAGATAGAGAGAAAGAAAGAGACAGAGAGAGAGAGACAGAAAGACAGAGAGAGAGAGAGAACCTCTCCCCCTGGAATTCAATTGAAGTTTCTTTCCAACAGACAGCAAGCATTCCAGCGCCCCTGCCTGAGGCCTTTCTCTCGTCCCAGCTACCAGCCTGCAGTTTCTCAGGAGCCTCACTAGGAGAGTTCTTAACTCCTGTGCGACCTTAGGGGCTCTTGCTTTCCCGGCTCAGATTGCTATCTAATGCTGCTCCAGAGCACTTCACTGATCTCACTTAAAAGAGAATGAAGGAAAGTTTCTCAGCAGCCCTTTGAGATGTAACCTGGGAGTCACCAAATGGCGCGGATGGCCGATACTGAGAAAATCAGTGGCAGCTCTCCCTGAGGAGCCTGTGCCCACGCTTAGGCGCTTAATTCTGCCTTACTCTCCTCTGAGAAGCATACACCCTGGCTGTGTCTTATTTCTTCTGGGCGTCTCTTTTCCCCTTTCCCCTTTTGCTGAAGTCGATAAAAAATACCTATAATGAAACTTTTAACTGCTTCAAAGTCTGTTCGGCCTCAAATCCCTGTCGGCGTCGAAGCCACAAAGCTTGATGGGGCCTGACCTGAGGTCCCTTGAGGTCTACGGAAATTCCTCAGGCTGTTGAGGGTGACAGTTGGGAGCTGTGCCTGTGCCTCTGTCCCCTCATGACTGACAGTGACACTAGCTTAGAAAAGTTTGGAATTTTGTTGTTTAATGGATTAAAACCTCCTTCCCTTCCCCCTATCTCCACTCAGCTCCCACCTCAGCTCTCACCTCAGCTCCCACCTCAGTTCCTACCTCAGCTCCCACCTCAGTTCCTACCTCTGCTCTCACCTCAGCCCCCACCTCAGCCCCCACCTCAGCCCCCACCTCAGTTCCCACCTCAGCTCCCACCTCAGCTCCCACCTCAGCTCCCACCTCAGTTCCCACCTCAGTTCTCACCTCAGCTCCCACCTCAGCTCTCACCTCAGCTCCCACCTCAGCTCCCACCTCAGTTCCCACCTCAGCTCTCACCTCAGTTCCTACCTCTGCTCTCACCTCAGCCCCCACCTCAGCCCCCACCTCAGATTCCCACCTCAGCTCTCACCTCAGTTCCCACCTCAGCTCTCACCTCAGCTCTCACCTCAGTTCCCACCTCAGCTCCCACCTCAGCTCTCACCTCAGTTCCCACCTCAGCTCTCACCTCAGTTCCCACCTCAGCTCTCACCTCAGCTCTCACCTCAGTTCCCACCTCAGCTCTCACCTCAGCTCTTACCTCAGTTCCCACCTGATTCTCACCTCAGCCCCCACCTCAGCTCTCACCTCAGCCCCCACCCCAGCTCTCACCTCAGTTCCCACCTCAGCTCCCACCTCAGCCCCCACCTCAGCTCTCACTTCAGCCCTCACCTCAGTTCCCACCTCAGCTCCCACCTCAGTTCCTACCTCAGTTGCCACCTCAGTTCCCACCTCAGCTCTCACCTCAGCTCTTACCTCAGTTCCCACCTCAGTTCCTACCTCAGTTGCCACCTCAGTTCCCACCTCAGCTCTCACCTCAGCTCTCACCTCAGTTCCCACCTCAGCTCTCACCTCAGCCCCCACCTCAGCTCTCACTTCAGCCCTCACCTCAGTTCCCACCTCAGCTCTCACCTCAGCCCCCACCTCAGCTCTCACCTCAGCCCCCACCCCAGCTCTCACTTCAGTTCCCACCTCAGCTCCCACCTCAGCCCCCACCTCAGCTCTCACTTCAGCCCTCACCTCAGTTCCCACCTCAGCTCCCACCTCAGTTCCTACCTCAGTTCCCACCTCAGCTCTCACCTCAGCTCTCACCTCAGTTCCCACCTCAGCCCCCACCTCAGTTCCCACCTCAGCCCCCACCTCAGCTCTCACCTCAGATTCCCACCTCAGCTCTCACCTAAGCTCTCACCTCAGCTCTTACCTCAGCCCCCACCTCAGCTCTCACCTCAGTTCCCACCTCAGCCCCCACCTCAGCCCCCACCTCAGCCCCCACCTCAGCTCTCACCTCAGATTCCCACCTCAGCCCCCACCTCAGCTCTCACCTCAGCTCTCACCTCAGTTCCCACCTCAGCTCCCACCTCAGTTCCCACCTCAGCTCACTCAGTTTCTATTGAATCTCAGGCTACAGCCCAGCACCTTCTGTTGCTCCTCAGTCAGGAGAAATACTCCCCTCTCCTCCTCACTTCTGTCAGTTCCAGGACAGAAGTGAAGGCAGTGGCTGAGGGACATCAAGGGCACCAGGCGCGGGTGCTGTGAGCATGAGCCCGAGAGTGGGGGCCATGGCTGGGTTTGCACAAGTCTTGTCGCAGTTCTTGGGGTGCAGCCTGCAGCTTGTGTGGCAGCATTAGCCCCTCCCCATCAGAGTCTCAGCTGTGCTCCCTGGACCACCACTGGCAGCAACAGGACCTGGACACTCGGGAGAAATACAATTTTAATTTTATTTTTTGAGACAGTATCTCACTATGTGACCAGGCTAGTCTGGAACTCACAGAAATCCGCCTATTTCTGACTCCCGAGGGCTGAGATTAAAAGCCGGTTACCACACCAGGCATGAAGTGGAAATTCCTGCCCACACTCGGCCTGTTCTGTCAGGGTTGGGGTAGAACCCAGCAGGCTTGGGTTTAACCTCTGAGGCGATCTGGTGCGTGTGCAGCTGGGGACCCTCTAGTCAATGCTGAGGAAGCCGAATATCACGTAACTACGGCGTTCTCGGTGTTTCTGCCAGGTGTTCATTTGGGGCAGGGAAAGCCCATTTTAACTGACGAGCCAGAGAGAGGATTCCAGAAAGAGCCTCAGGCACAGCCCTTCACACAAGCGAGAAAGACAGCCGGGCGGTGGCGCAGCCTTTAGTCCCAGCACTCGGGAGGCAGAGGCAGGCGGATCTCCGTGAGTTCGAGGCCGGGCTGGACCGACAGCCTCCAAAACAACACAGAGAAACCCTGTCTGGTGAAACCACTGAACACACCCATCCCTCATCAGGTCCCATTCTGCAGGGGAGGAAACTGAGTCACAGGCTTGCACAGCCACTATGCAGAGGCCAGGCTTCGGACCCAGGTCACCGGGAGCGGCGTGGCAGGGTTTCTGAGAAAGACGGCGGGAGGGCGGTGAAAAGTGTAGAGCAGGGCTGGGGCTGACAGAGCTTTCAGGTGTCTCTGACACGCTTGGTGTGTACAACCCCAGTGGCCAGCGATGGGGGGATGGCTTGGGGCGGGGCATGTCTCTCTTGGTGCCGGGACCAGGATGAGTCAGGGCCAGATGCGGCTGGAGCGGGACAGCCACAAATCCCAGCCCCTTCGGGGAAAGAACAAACTGCAGGTCCCTCCCGGGCGTCACTGCAGGGCGTCACTCCAGGGCATCACTGCAGGGGGTCACTGCAGGGCGTCACTCCCGGGCGTCACTGCAGGGCGTCACTCCCGGGCGTCACTGCAGGGCGTCACTCCCGGGCGTCACTGCAGGGCGGGCGTCACTGCAGGGCGTCACTCCCGGGCGTCACTGCAGGGCGTCACTCCCGGGCGTCACTGCAGGGCGTCACTCCCGGGCGTCACTGCAGGCTCACGGAACACTGGAGAAGCGGTTGGTTGTCTTGGTGGCGCTCACGGAACACTGGAGAAGCGGTTGTCTTGGTGGTGGGAGCGCTGCGGACGGGACCCTGGACTGCACGGGTCGGGCTCCGGCCCTGAGCTACACTTCTTTTTTATTCTGCATTTTCACCTTCTGTAGTCACCATGCTTCATTTGCCGTTTTACGGTGACTTTCGTCATTGGTTGAATGCATGAGGAGCAGACTTCAGTCTTCCTCCGCGCACGGGCGCCCAGGGGCCACGGTGTCAGCGCTGCTGGTGGGAGCTGCGGCTCTGGCAGCTGGCGTGGGCGTGCTTCCGTACCTTCACGTCCTTCAGTCCCCACCCCCTGGCCCAGGGACCCGTGTGGAGAGAGGCAAGCTGGAGGCCACCCGTCAACTGAACACACCTGGTTTCTCTCCCCTTCCCTTCGTCTTCTGAGTCAGGGCCCCACGACGTAGCCAAGGCTGCCCTTGGGCTTGCGCGGGCCCTGTAGTGCGGGGTTTACACACAAGCTCCCCTGTAGGGTAACGAAAGGGCGGGACCGTGCCGCTAACCACACCCACTTTGGGCGTGACTAGAGACCACATCCATATACGGGTCTCTAGAGCGCCACGTGGCTAAGGGCGGAGGCCTCAGTTTCCCCCACACTCCCCACACTGGCTCCAAAGGTAATCTTTTTTGATTGTTTGTTTGTTTTTGGTTTTTTCCAGACAGGGTTTCTCTGTACTGTTTTGGAGGCTGCCCTGGCACTCGCTCTGTGCAAAGGTAATCTTCAATCTGTTGGGCTAGCAAACAAAGACTAGTCCGGCCTGCCTTGCAGGGACCTTGGAGGGACTGACCTCCTGACCTCCTGACCTCCTGACCTCCTGACCTCCTGAGGGCTGACCGCTCTCTGTGTCTGATGGAAAGAGTTTCTCTTTGGTTTTCACCGTTTTCATTTCACTGTTCAGCTCCTTTGATACTTTTCTGTGCTGGAAATCATCACCCACAAACTGGAAAACACACACACTACATACACACACTACATACACACACACATGCACACACATACCACACACATACCACACACACCACCACCCACACCACACACACACACCACATACAGACACCACACACACATACCACACCACACACACACTACACACACACACCATGACACATACACACACACACAACGCACCACATACAGACACCATACACACCACACCACACACACACACTACACACACACTACCATGCACCACATACAGACGCCACACACACATACCATGCCACACTAAACACACACACACGCACTCACACACATACACACACACCACACAATATACATATACAGCATGTACACATATACCACACAGCACACACACACACATACACTTGCCCCCACACATACACACCACACACACATACCACACCACACTAAACACACAGGCACTCACACACATATATACACACCACACACACATATACACATACCACATACACCACCCACTACGTATATACTACACACACACAGGCACACACACACACACATATACGTATACAGCATGCGCGCGCGCGCACACACACACACACACACACACACACACACACCATGTCACTCCTCCTTTGTTGCAACAGGTCTGCAGTCGATCTGGCTGGAATGACCACGTCTGAGTGTAAGGCGAGTGTGTTCAGGAGTTTCCCTGACTCAGAAGACTTCCTCCTCCTTCCCTCTCCTCCTTCATGCAGCCATGATGCTGGAGCTGAAGCTGGAGCAGCCTTGGACCATGTGACAGAAGGCAACTATGGATCATTCCGGAACAAGACAGAGGCGGTCTCTAATGCTTGTGTTAGTCTTCCTGGACTAAATTCCCTTTTTAAAAGATTTATTTGTTTATGCATTTACTGTCTGCACGCCAGAAGGGGACACCAGGGGACGGTGTGAGCGGCTGTGTGGCTGCTGGGAACTGAACTCAGGTCCTCTGGAAGAGCCATCTCTCCAGCCCACACCCTTTTTTGAGATAGGGGCTCACTATGTAGACCAGGCTAGCCTCAGTCTCACAGAACTCTGCCTGCCTTTGCCTCAGAAATGCCACCACGCCCGGCTGTCTTCCCTCATATTTAAATGGAGATGGGCATTTTTACCTCATTTTTGGGTCTCTGTTATTTCAGGGTTCCGTCACTCTGCATCCAGTTTTGCTCGCCTGTCACACATCTGACGGTATTTCTCAAAACTGAGATGCACGGTGGTTTGAAACAGGGTCTCATGTAGCACAGGTTGGCCTTAAACTCACAGCTGAGGCTAGCTTTGACCTCCCAAATTCTGACGAAATTAAAGGTGTGCGCCACCATCAGCGGCCTTCTGCTGGTGGCCCCAGGAGAGACCGGAAGCCTGGTGGGGCAGCTGTGGGAGCTGGGTGTTGTTTGACCTTGGCACAAAGTCAGGCGCGTCTGTCTGGAAGCCCCGGAGCTGCTGCAGGTGGCTCGTTCCCTAGGGTCCCTTCCGCAGCCTCCGGCTGCCCCTCCTCCACCTTCTCCAGGAGAAATGGAGCGGGCACACACCGCACAGCTCAGCAGGAAGCAGCTGCATCTCCCCGCGCCTTCTGGAACTCAGAGGCAAAAGCGCGAACTGGCATGGCATCTCTGTGCGAGGCTGGGTCTCCATGGAGCTGAGTCCCTGCGCGCTGCAGGAGAATGACCCGGAGTGAGGAGTATGGGCCTGTGTTAGGTGACAGAAGTGTCGGCCATGCGGGTGGCCTTGGGCCCCTCATCCCCACTCTTCCCAGGGAGATCTGAGTTCAGGCGCTGCCCCCCCTCGAGGGACGGGAAAGCACTAGTCCCTGCTTGCTAGTTGCCAAGCAACCCGAGGATGAGCCTTGGAGGTCATCTCTCAGACAGCTCTGCGCCTCCGCGCAGCCTGCGAACAGATGGCCCCGCAAGCAGCCAGCCCCAGCCCTGAGCAATCGCTGTGCTCCTGCAGCCTGTCTCCCGGGCGGGCGTAAGCAAGGAGGAGGCGGCCTCTAGGGACACAGCCAGGGCGGCGTGGGGACTTTCACGAGGAAGGGAGGGGCCCAGGCTAGGCTCCAGGCAGCCCTACGGCCATTCTGCTCTTGCCCAGGGCAGTGCCTGGAGGACGGGGAAGGGGTGCGAGGCTGTGCTCCACTCCATTCTTAGGTGGGCTGGATTGTGTGTGAAAGTCGGCTCCGCTTGACGGCTCACCAAAGTGCAGCCTCTGAGACAGGGGAGCCAGGAGTGACTAGGGACATAGCCAGCGGGGAGAGTGCCTGTCTAGCGTGTAGGAAGCCCTGGGTTTGAGCCCCAGCGTTTCCTAAAACTGGGTGTGGTGATGCATTCCTGTAACCCCAGTACATGGAAGATGGAGGCGGATCAGAAGCCCGAGGCCACCCTTACCTACACAGGGAGTTAAAAGCAAACTTACATTACATATCTCAAAAATACATAAATAAAACTGGGTGTGGTGGCCTGTTGGGCCTAAAAAGGCCAGGACACGAGGCCTAGTGGAATTTCCTGAGCCTGGCTAGAGTTTGGCGACCTGACTCAGCAAAACTGCGTCTGCCCAGCTACTGCTAATGTGGGGGAATGTTATTGGCCCTTACACCCCACCCATGCTGAGGTGCCCGGCTTCTTTCTCAACCCTATATAAGCGCATGTCTCTTACAATAAAGTGGGACTCTGCTTTGACCGGTCTTCACCCTAGTTTCCTCCGGTGACTAGGAGGGGGTCTGAGTCATCAACCCGACCTTCCTGGTCTATGTATCAAGTACTAGGCCAGCCAAGGCTATTTAGTTCGACCTTGTCTCAAATAAATAAGTAAAAAATAAAATAAAATTCAGGAGACACCTGTGATATTACTATATCTTTTCTTTCTTTTTAGAACAAAATTTGAGATGACGAGTCGCCCTCAGGGAAACTTTCCCCTCTGATTGCAGGACGACACACTCTAGAAGAGAAGCAGACCTCCAGGGCCCCCTCTGTCCTGCTGTTTTGATTTTCATTTTATTTATTTAATTATCTATTTCGGTTTTGAAGTTTTGAAAGCATTTCACTGTGTATCCCCTGGCTGGCCCTCACTCAGTGTGTATGAGGGCCTCTGCAAACATCACAGCCAGAAGCAAAGTAACCCGAGAAGAGACGTGAATGAAACTCGGTTCAGCTCAACTTTAGTTGCCCCGCGCTGGTTCAAACTCCTGGAGTCTGACACCAGGTGGCTTGACTTAGCCCTATTTAAGCACAATTTTGGAGAAAAGTTTCCTGATGACTCAATCCCATGTGTAGAGCAAAGCTTAAGACATACTTACATTGAAACTCTTCACAAACCGCATGCGGACTCTTTTCATAAGGATGGGTTCTGTAGACTTACAAACAAAGCTCATGATAAGGGTCTAGGGAGAACGACGGAGGTAAACGCGATGCCTGTGGGACTCAGGATTGGCCTGGCCCTAAGATAACATGGAAGTCACTTAGGCTGTAGTAAACTGTAAGTGACATTTCTTATGAGGATGGTTTTATGGACTAAGAACCAATGCTCAAGATCTGGGGCGGGGGAGTCTGTGCTAAATAATATAACAATATTCTGGGGGATTCGGGTGCAGCCTGGCCCTGCAGATAGCAAAGATCACCAGGTTGTAAGCCACATCCTTTTCCAGAATTCCAAGCAGAAGACAGCTAAGCATCTCCTTGCTTTGAAGAGACAAGCATTCGTGTTTCTCTTTCTGGTTTCCCTTGTGCTTATCTGTGTGCAGGGACCTCTTTCCTTCTACAACGCTGCAGACAAGGCTAGCTTCAGATTCACAGAGATCTGCCTGTCTCCACCTCCTGAATGCTGCTGGCATTACAGGTGTGCACCTCCGTCCCTAGTTCATGCAGCTTATTTTTATTTTTTAGTGTGTATGAGTGTTTGACGGCATGCATATGTGCACCGTGTGTGTACCTAGTACCCTCAGAGACCAGAAGAGGGTGTCAGATCTCCTGGAACTGGAGTTACAGATAATTATAAGCCACAGCGTTGGTTCTGGGAACCTTACCCAGGTCCTCTGCAAGAACAAATACAGTTAACTTGAGCCATCTCTCTGGTCCCTGTTGTCCTATGTTAATGCAAAGCAGAAAGACCTGCTATTTCTAGAGCAGACTCCAGCTATGTGTCCTCTAATTCAGTCCGGTTCTGATGAGATCTGCCTGCAAGTGGTGTAACACCCCATAGGTTCAGGGTGTGGCTCCACGGGTCCCCTTACTGCAGGTCCCAATGGGTAGATTGTCATATCCACTTCTGACCAACCGGCTGCAAACTATGGCTGCTACTCACCCGTCTCTGGGTTAAACCGCATTGCCGGCATTCACAGTACTCAGGAAAACACAATGTTGGCCAGCTGTCTATTATTGTTGCTAGTGTTTTGTTTTTTTGTTTTTTGTTTGTTTGTTTTTTGTTTTTTTCGAGACAGGGTTTCTCTGTATTGTTTTGGAGGCTGTCCTGGAACTCGCTCTGTAGACCAGGCTGGCCTCGAACTCACAGAGATCCGCCTGCCTCTGCCTCCCAAGTGCTGGGATTAAAGGCGTGCGCCACCAACGCCCGACTTTATTGTTGCTATTGTTAAGATAGGTCTTGCTATATAGGCCAGGATAACCTTGAACTTGAAATCCTCCTGCCTCTGCCTCGGAGTGCTGAGGTCACAAGCCTGGCACCAGTTATATTAATAAAGATATTTCTGCTCAGTAGTGTGTGCCTGTAATCCCAGCACTCAATAGGCTAAAGTTGGAAGATTGTCACGAGGTGGAGGCCAACCTGGGCTACATAAGTAAGTTCCAGGCCAGCCTGGGTTGTGAAACTGTCCTCTGTGTGTGTGTGTGTGTGTGTGTGTGTGTGTGTGTGTGTGTGTTTCACATCATGTGTCCAGATCCCATTCATCTCCTTGTTTCTTCATATGTGCCCGTTGACTTGCAACCTCCCCCACCCAAGTAAAATTTAAAAGAAAACACAAAACCAAAAATCAAAAACAAACATACAAAAAGAAAAAAAGAAGCTGTATGGTGACACAGTGAGTCACATAGCATACCTTTTAGTCCATAAATCTTGTAAGTGGTGGGTGCAACGAGTCATTGAGGCTTCTGGCTTCTGCCACACCCTCCATACAGGGTCCTCACTGGGACTTCTCCTGGAAATCCTGCTGTTTGTTGTCCTGTGTCACGGAGATCCTACAGGTTCAGGTCTGCAGGTCCAGCCCTTCCTTTCTCCTGCTCCAGTAGTTCATAGATGGGGAGGGTGTTAGGGTGGGCTGCCTCATAGCCCTGGTTCTGGGCATGGGTGGTAGCTGGTTTGATCAGCCTGCCAGCTTCCCTCATAGACATCACCAGGGCAAGCTCTCCAGCACCGCCTGGACGAGCTCACCCACTGCAGCAGGCAGCAAGGAGCAGTGGGGGTGGGGGTGGGGAGCAGTTCTGCTCTCACACACTCAGGGCGGGCTCACTGGCACTTACATCACCAGGGCCAGATCTACTGTGTTGCCCAGGCCAGGTGCAAGGTCTGATCTCCTGCAAAACCTTTTTTTTTTAAGTGTAAGCCAGGCAGTGATGTCACACGCCTTTAATCCTGGCACTCAAGAGGCAGAGGCAGGTGGATCTCTGAGCTCGAGGGCAGCCTGGTCTACAGCGTGAGTTCCAGGACAGCCAAGGCTACACAGAGAAACCCTGTCTCAAAAAACCAAACTAAACAAACAAAAAGTGTAAATGAATACAGCATTTCTGAATATGGGGCATCTGCAACATTTGTTAAGAGTCTGGTCCTCTTGTCTCTTTAAGGGAATAATCAGAAAGGACTTTTGGATCGGAATGAGAAATGTCCCCCATCATATCAATGCTTGAACACTTGGTTCTCAGTTGGTGGCGCTGTTGGGAAGGCTGTGGAACATTTAGGAGCTGGGACCTTCCTGGAGGAGGCAGCTCAATTGGTCCCTGCATGGGGGGGGGTAGCTTTCGGTGTCTACAGTGTCACTCTTCTTCCTGTTCACGGTGCTGCTTGTGTCGAAGCAGCCTCCTGCTCCTGGCTCCATGCCTGCACCTGCTGCCATGCCTGCCCTCCCCCGTGGGGCTCTCATCCCCCGGAACCACAGGCTGGGGTATTACTTTCAGGTGTGTGACTTGTCTATGCTGCATTTGTTTAACTGGGTGAAGCTGTGACTCTTTGCTTGTCTAAAACACCTGATGATCTAATAAAGAGCTGAACAGCCAATAGTAAGGCAGGAGCAAGAATAGGTGGGGCTAGGCCGGGCGTTGGTGGCGCATGCCTTTAGTCCCAGCACTCGGGAGGCAGAGTCAGGTGGATCTCTGTGAGTTCGAGGCCAGCCTACAGAGTGTGTTCCAGGACAGCCTCCAAAACAATACAGAGAAACCCTGTCTCGAAAACCCCACCCCTCCAAAAAAAAATAGGTGGGGCTGGCATGGGAGAACAGGAGAGGAGTCACGACAGGGCCGGCTACCCAGCCAGACTTGGAGTAAGATTTACAGAAGGAAGAGAACAGGAAAAGCCCAGAGGCAAAAGGTAGACGGGATACTTAGTTAAGAAAAGCTGGCTGGGAACAAGTCGAGGTAAGGTGGGACATTCATGACTAAGAATAAGACTCCACGTGTGATTTATTTGGGAGCTGGGTGGCGGGCCCCTCAAAGAGTGAAAAAAGTCAGAGAATAAAATTGACACAATAACCATAAGCCCCCCAAAAAACCTATTTCTTCCCTAAGTTGTTTTGGGTCATGGCATTTTATCACAGCAACAGAAAAGTGACTAATAAAAAGGACAAAGTGAATGCTAGTTTAGTGCCTTGTGACCGTGCACACCTGTGACCGTGCACGCCTGTGACTCCACATGCAAGAGTCCAAGCAGCAGTGTGAGACCTGGGCTACACTTGTCTCCAAAAAGATGTTTAAAGATATGACTGTGAAATATAGCTGATGTACAGAAAGATGCATTAGACAAAAACATATGTTGTAGTGTGTAATTATGAGACAGACGCCTGTCCTGTATTCACCACCCAGACCAAGACCCGGTAGACTGCCCGCACCATGGGTGTCCCTGTGTCTCCGCCCTAGTCTCGGTTCCGCCCAAGGGGACTCATTCCTGTGCTTTTTCACGATAGTCTCTACCTACCGCTATAGTGTCAGGGTTCTAGTTCACTCGTGCTCGACAGTATAATCTGGATTTTTCTGGTTTTAAAACTTATGTAGCAATCCGTCTCAGATGGGCTTCAGGTTCTGCTCTTTTGTTCAGGTTAGCGTAACATCAGTCTGTGCTGTCAGGGAGTACCGTTTACTCAAAGCAGCTTCATGGCCCATGGTACAATTATAAAGCCAATGCAGGGCTGAAGACCCAAGTTTGATGTCCAGAATAAAAACATCAGATGTGCCGGGCATTGGTGGCACACACCTTTAATCCCAGGACTAGGGAGGCAGAGGCAGGCGGATCTCTGTGAGTTTGAAGCCAGCCTGGTCTGCAGAGTGAGCTCCAAGACAGGCTCCAAAGCCACAGAGAAACCCTGTCTCGAAAAACAAAAAACAACAAAACAAAACAAACAAAAAACAAAAGCAGGTGTATCTGTAATTCCAGGATGTTATGGTAAGACCAGAGAATTTTCTAGAAGCTACTGGGTCAGCTAGCCTGGAGTAAACTGTGTAGCAGGAACAAGAGAGATGCTGCCTCAGCACAGTTGAAGGCAAGAACAAACATCCAAAAGTCCTCTGACCTCCACATGACCTCCACATGACCTCCACATGACCTCCACATGACCTCCACATGACCTCCACATGTGTACTTACATTCATAAACAGAAAATAAATTTGTTCACTTAGAAAAGAAAAAAGAAAAGCTTTCCCCTCAGTCAGGAGAGGTGGCTCAGGGGTTAGAGCTTGTTCGGCTCTCGTAGGCAACTTAAGTTCAGTCCGAATTACTGTGCTTGGCAGCTCACAACAGACGGCAACGCCAGCTCTTCCAGCCTCTTCTGGACTCCGTGGGCACCCGTGGGCACACACCTACACACCCCAACACACACACGGTTACAAATACAAGTAAATATTTTTAAAGAAATGCATCTATGCATTTTACTCGAGATAGGCTTTCAAGTTTTTGTTTTTACATTTTAATTTATGTGTGTGTGCGTGCGTGAGAGAGAGCAAGTACACCAGCGAGAGAGAGTGGGTGAGCACTTGAGGAAGTCAGTTCCCTTTCTTTCTACTGTGTGGGTTCCAGGGATCCAGTGCAGACCCTCAGGCTTGGCTTAAGTGCCTATTCCCACTGAGCTACCTCACCTGCTCCTTGAAAGGCTTTTAAATTATTTCTAGTGTGTGTATTCTGAAATTATTATTTTTTTTCTGTGACAAGATCCCATTATACTGTCCTATGTAGATGAGGCTGGCCTCGAACTCACAGACATCTGCCTGCCTCTGTACCCTGAGTGCTGGGGTTTAAGGAGGCGTCAGCAAGGCCAGCTCTGAATGCTTTTGTACCCATTCTCTGGCACACTGTGCATTTCCTAGGATACTTTTCTGGTTTGGTGTCCTGGGTCACAGTATATGAATGACATATCACTTGACTAGAAAATGCTGACCAGCTAATGAGTGAGAAACCAATCTGGGCTATTTAAGAAAAAAACTAAAACACAAACAAATAATTTCAATTTATTGGAACTCTTGAGGTTTAGGACATTAATCACCCCTGAGAACATTTGCATTTCCTTCCAGAAGTCACAGGATCTTAAGGTTACAGCAGGCAAAAA